TGGGGAGAGGGGAGAGATGGGAAGAAAATTTGGAACTCAAAATCTTATGGAAGTGAATGTTGAAAACTAAAAATAAATTAATTAATTTAAGAAAAAAAAAAAGAAAAAGAAAAAGAGGCGAGGAGAGGGTTCATTCCAGTCACGGGGAACATCCGGTGCCAGGATGGAGCGATGGGAGACAGAGCCACCCAGAGAACAAAGAGAAAGCCAGTCTGACTCCATCGGAGGCACGGGAAGTGGAGGAACGAGCAAAGTCCACAGAATCCCTTTCTTCCTTTAAGACACAGCTCAAACGCCATGTTCTACGTGACACTAGAAAAGAGAAGGTGTGCGACACGCTGGGACCCGTGGGGAGCAGCACTGGTGAGTCATCATGGTGGGTTAGGGCCTGTCAGTGCAGTGAGAATGATGAGAGATTATGGGAGACGTTTTGCCACAAGCCAAAATAGGGTGAAACAAGTCTCTCTTGAGCTAAATGTCTATTCAAAACAGGGTTCAGGAAGCTCTCTCTGATGCCCCGACATGGTGACCACCTTTCCCTCTGAGCTCAGGCAGGCATCGCTTTAGCATTGTGTTTATACCCCTCTAGGGCACCTGTCATGTATAATATTGTATTACATTTATATGCATGTATATCATTCACCTCTACCAGACTGTCAGTTCTATAAGGGCAGGGACAATATCACAGCTAAACTTTGTATCTCCAAATGCCTAATACAGTAAATAGTACACAGATGATGCATATTTCTTGACCAACAGAGTTATCATGAGAAATCTGAAAAAGTCGGTTGGTACCATGTTTTGCTTTTTTTTTAAGCATTTATTTAGAATTTAATTTTTCCCCAGTTACATGTAAAAACAATTTTTAACATTCATTTTTATAACTTTGAGTTCCAAATTCTCTCCCTTCCTCCCGCCCCACCTCCACCCCCCACTGAGAAGGCAAACAATTCAATATGGGTGATGCATGTGCAGTCATGCAAAACATATCTGTAATAGTCATGTTGTGGCACCATGTTTTAGCAGGCTTTGAAAGCAATGTAAGAAGTTTTTGTTGTATTGGGTATGCAATATGGAACCTAGGGCAGCTAAGTGGCACAGTGGATAGAGTGCTAGGCCTGAAGTCTGGAAGACATGAGTTCAAATCTGGCCTTAAATACTGATTAGCTGGGTAACCCTGGGCAAGTCACATAAGAGGGTTACTCTTTGCCTCAGTTTCCTCATCTGTAAAATGAAATGGAGAAGGAAATGGCAAACCATTCCAGTATCTCTGTCAAGAAAACACCAAATGGGGTCACAAAGATACAACTGAAACAAATGAACAACAATGGAACAATTAAAGGCTTTTGAGCAGGACAGTTCCATGGTCGGACCTGTTTATGCATCAGGAAAATCTTTCTGATAGGTGTGGGAAGGAAAAAAATTGAAGGTGAAGAGACAAGAGACAGAGATCAGGAGCCTATTAAAATTGTCTAGGTGGGGGCAGCTAGGTGGTACAGTAGATAGAGCTCAGGCCTTGGAGTCAGGAGGACCTGAGTTCAAATGTGGCCTCAGACACATGACACTTCCTGGCTGTGTGATCCTGGGCAAGTCACTTAACCCCGATTGCCTCACCAAAAAGCAAAAAAAAAAATTGTCCAGGTGAAGGTCTATGAAGGATTAGAATTACTACTACTACTACTACTACTACTACTACTACTACTACTACTACTACTACTACTGCTACTGCTACTGCTACTACTAACCCCCAGCATTTATATATCACTTTAAGGTTTATGAAGCATTTTACATATGTCATCTCATTTGACTCTCATATCAGCCTTGTCAGGCTGGTGCTATTATTTTCCCCATCTGACAGATGAGGAAACTTAAGTCTGGAGAGTTTAAGTGACTTGCCCAGAAGTGTCAAAGACAGGATGATACTAGCGTCCTTCCAGTCTGTCATTTCTAGGGTGAAGATTCAAACTTTAATGTTATTCAAAATCCAGTATTCTTTTCACTCAAACAAGGTTTAGTTATTAGTGCCTTTTCAACCCTCTAAGAGATGTCCTATAACTGTAACAGTAATTACTGTTAATAATAATAGCTAGCATTTATATAGTGCCTAGATTTTATATCTAACATGTAATACGTTATGTAATATGCAACATTATATGTTTATATATGATATTACATATATTATGTGTGAGATGAATAATTATTCACATTCATACACAGCTTCAAGGTTTTACAAAGCACAACAATACCGTGGAGCAGGTAATGCACGAATTATTTCAATCGTTTTTAGCCAACATTAAAGTTCCTATCTACTTTATGTAAGTCACTGTACTGGAAGAAGGTTGGAAGGGGGATCAGGGTTAGAAAGACAAAAACAGAACAGCACCAGCCCTCAAGGAGCTTACATTCTACATGGGGAAACAATGTGCACTCAGCTAAGCAATAGCTGTTTTACAGGTGGAAAACCTTGGAACTCCGCTTGGCCAAGGTCAAAGAGCCCATATTCGAACCCACGTCTTCCAACTCTTCGACCACTTGTTTAAAAAGCAAAACACAAAAAACCCCACCTCGATAACTTAGAAAACACCAAACAGCATGACAAGGATCTATCAAATACAGTCCTGCTTTAAACAGAAAAATGCCTCCTTCCAAGAAACACTCATAAAAGATCTTGCATTGCGTAACTTCCCTAGGAACTACAAGTCCCGGCGTGCCATGCCAACTGCCCCTTTCCCTTCCGGCACTAGGCGCAAAGCCCCCTGGGAGATGTAGTGCCGGAAATTCGGAGCGAACACGAGGCATGCCGGGATTTCTCCCTTCCCGCTCTGTGTTTTCCTTACCTGCTCTGGCTTCTCGGGGCTGACGTTCAGCAAGTTATTAAGCTCAGGGAACATCCCGAGCCTTGGCGTTGGAAGTGAGCAGGCCTTAATTGTGTAGGATAGAAAAGCTGCAGAGGCCTCAAGAAACGCTCAGAGACGAGGCCTGAATACACGCCTTCATCCTCTTCGCAAACTGCGTGAGAAGAATGCGCATGCGTATGCGCTTGCCTTCCCCGGAAGCGCATGCGCTGCTGACCGCTTCTTGTAAAACTGACTTTCCAACGAACTCCATTTATGAGGTTTGTATGGACCTAATACCTAAACCAGGGAACGATAAAGCAGAGGAAAAGGTCTGTATGGACCAGCGTCGTTAGCGAATATTGATTAAAGTTTTTGAATTAAATTGTGGCAAAATAGCTACCCCGATATAGGTCTTTAAGGTTTGCGCCACAGATTATTTTCTCTGATTCCAACCCCCTCCCCATAACCTTGTGAGGCAGGTGCTCCTATTATCCCCATTTTACAGATGAGAAAACAGGCTTCGGAGAAAGGTTAAGTGACTTCTGGTGACCCTACAGTCTGAGGCAGAATTCGTTCAAGGCGACCCCTGCGCCACCTAGTGGCCTCAAGAAGTCTAGCAATCTGTTCAAAATGGGATCCATTGTTGATCAAGTTGGATTTAAACCAGGAATGAATGGATGATTCAACGTTAGGAAAATAACAAATGTAGTTATTAAAATTACTATTAAAACATATTCTGATTACTCCCTCCATTTACCTCTCCTATTCACCTGCTGTTGAAGGGAGCTAGAGAAAACCTTGAAACCATGATACTGGGTCCAGTATCCCTTGGGCCTTCATTGCATCAAGGCAAAATTTTTTACAACTCCCCACAGTGGATTCACTGTCCCACTCACCACAGTGACTGTTGGAAACACTTTTTGTATTTCTTCAAACCTATTATGACACCCATCCTCTAATCTGAGGACCTACACTGGAAAAAATTGAGGGATCAATCACCGTTTGCTGAGGGATCACTCTTCTTCCCTCTTCTTTAAATTACATCCCTCAGACATCTTTCTCAAATATCTTTTCTTTTATCTCTGTTTCATATGAGGAGGTAGCTCTTCTCTTTACAGAGGCAAAATCCTCCAATTGCACCTTTGATCCCATTCTACCCTCTCTTCGCCAAGGCGTGACTCCCACTGTCATCCCTACTCTGTCACTAATATTGAAATTTTCCTTATTTATTGGTCCTTCCTTACTGCCTAAAAACACCTTCATGATTCTGCTCATATTTTTTAAAATTTTCACTTGATATAAATATTTGATAATCAACTTTGAAAGACTTTAAAACTCTGATCAATATAATGACAAACCACAAGTCCAGAGAACTAAAGATGAAACGCACCACCCACCTCCTGCCAGAGAAATGATGGACTTAAAATGCAGAATGGAACATACATGTTTGAGACATGGCTGATATGGGAATTTGTTTTGCTGGACTATGCATATTTGTTACAAGGATTTTATTTTTTGTTTTTACTTTGTTCAACTAGGGGAGGGAGTAGTGAGAGGGAGAGGTAATAATTGCTTTAAAAATAAGTAAATTTAAAATAAATCAATCATCAATAGTCAGTAAACATTTATTAAGTGCTTACTGTGTTCCAGGCTCTGTACTAAGTGCTAGGGATACAAATACAAAAATAAACATTTCTGGCCCTCAAGGAGCTTACATTCTACTGGGAGACACAGCACACGAAGGAGAGTGGTGGTTAGGGAGGGGCACTTTGGGAACTAAGCTGAGAAGGCCTACATGCCATCCAGGAACAAAGGCAAAAGAAAAAAAAAATTCTCTCCACCTGCTCTCTTCTCAGTCCCTTCCAATTCTACTTGTCCTACCACTCTTCAAACTGCTCTTCCAAAGATGACTTCCAAATGATTTCCTAAATGCCAAATTAAATGTTCTCCCCCCCCAGTTCCTATCTTCCTTGACCTCTCCATCATCTCTTAAATGTATCATTTTCTCTTTATTCCCACGGTCACCACCCTAGTACAGATCTGCTGCTTTTCTGGACAACAGCTTTCTAACAGGCTTTCTTCCATTCTTTGTCACCTCCAATACAGTTTTCAGATTGCTACTAGATTTATCTTCCTTTCAAACAGATATGGTCATGCCACTGCTGAAAAATCTGTGGTGGCTTCCTGTTGCCTGCCGAGTAAAATTAAACCTGCTTTGTCTGGCATTCAAGGTTTGCCATAATCTGACCCTACCGTACCTTTCTGGTCTTATCTGATATTAGTCTTCTCCCCACACTTTACACTTCAACAATACTAGACCACTCTCTGTTCCTCCATGCCCTTGCTCAACCCTAAATGCACATTGTTCTCTAGGCCTGAACTATCTTCCCTCTTCCTCTTTCCCTGCTGAATTCCTATCTATCTTTTAAAATCCAAATCAAATACAACCTTTTCTTTGACATTTGTAGGTTAACCCCACTCCCCATACCCTACCACCCAATTCTTTATTCCCCAAAGTTCCAACAAAAAGCCACTCACCCCTTCCACGGTGCCCTGTGAAATGCCTGTTCCATATCCCTTCATCTTAAGTCTTTTCCTCTCCCACTCCTTTCAGCTTCTAGCTTTACCAAAGTCTGGCTCCCCCCCATGACACAGCCTCCCCTTATTATCCTTTCCAGTTCTGACTGTACCTTTACTCATTCCTTTCAACTCACTGGTCAGAGTAGAAGAGTTGGAATATTCCTTGCTGCCTGTTGACACTTCTGGGTTCTCCCCCTGCCTCCTTTGATGCACTTCATATCTCCCACCCAATCCAAATCTTGGTAACTATTGTCCACAGACCTCCGGGTCACTCCCCTTCCTTCCCCAGTGAGTTTGGTACCTGACTCACAATTTTTCTCTCCTCCCCAACTCCTGCTGTCCTACTAGGGGACTTCAACATACATATTGACTGTCCTTCAAACGCCTGAATCACTCTGTCCCTCAGCCTGCTCACTTCCTGTGAGCTCCTTCACACCCCCTCAGTGACACAGAAAGATGGTCACACTGCTGATCTTGCCGTCTCCGGTGAATGTGCCACCTCCATGTTCAAGAATTCCGAAATCCACTTATCTGACCAAAACCTATTGGCTTTCCACCTCTTCTTCTGCTTTCTCTTACCAGACTCTGCTCTTCATCCGCATCATGACCTTCAGTTCCTCCACCTCTCAGTTCTCTCCCAGGCTGTTACCCCATGCACTAGCTACTCTTTCCTTTTTTCTCCATTTTGACCCCCCTGGTGAACCAGTTCAACTTTACCCTGTCCTCTTTTCTTGAGCCCTAGCCACCTTATCATAGTGCCTATTGGGCTTTGACAAATCTCAATCTTGTATCACTCCCACCACCTGCCACCTTTGCTCCTGCACAGGTGCTGCTGAACACAGGTGGAGAAAGTCACACAACTATTCTGATTGGGCCAACTACAAATTTATTTTACATAACCTCAACTGGGCCCTCACTGCTGCTAGGCAATCCTATTATACCTGCCTTATCAACTCTCTATCCTACTCTTCACAGCAGCTCTTCCAAACCTTTTCAATCCCCCTCAAGCCTCCTCTGGCCCTCCCTCCCCCCACTATCTCAGCTGAAAACCTTGACTCCTATTTTACAGAAAAAATCAAGGCCATTCACTGTAAGCTGCTTCTTCTCTGCTCTTCTTCATTTCATATCACTCAGATGTGATTTCCCACTATCTCTTCCTTCATCCTGTCTTACATAAAGAGATGGCTTTACTCTAGGCTAGCCCCTCTACTTGTTACAGTGATCCATTCGAGCCTATCTGTAACAGATTATTCCTTCTGCCATCCCCAAGCATCACTTATTTTTAATCTCCCCCTGTCTATTGGCTCCTTCCCTGCTGTCTCCACCATCCTTAAAAAGCCCTCACTTCATCCTTCCATCCCCAATAATAATCATCCTGTATCTTTACTGCCCTTTGTATCTAAACTTCACCTATAATAGATGTCTTCACTTTCTCTCCTGTCATTGTCTTCTTACAATATGGCTTCTGACCCTATCATTCCAATGAAACTGTTCTCTCCAAAGTTATTGATTTTTTTTTTAGGCAATTGGGGTTAAGTGACTTGCACAGGGTCAAGTGTTTGGTCCGAGGCCAAATTTGAACTCAGGTCCTCCTGACTTCAGAGCCGGTGCTCTATCCACTGTACCACCTAGATGCCCTAGATGATCTCTTAATTGCCAAATCAAATGGCCTTTTCTCAATCCTCATTCTCCTCAACCTCTATGCAGCCTTTGACACTGTTGATCACCCTCTTCTCAGTGATAGTCTCTTCTGTCTCAAGTTTTCAGGACACCACTCTCTCCTGGTTCTCCTCCTACCTATCAGACCTTTCCTTCTCAGTCTTCTTTTCGGAACCCTCATCCAGATCATACCCTCTAAATATAGTGTCCCACAGGGTTCTGTCCTCAGTCTTCTCTTCTCCCTCTATACTACTTCACTTAGTGATATCTTCAGCTCCATGGATTTAATTACCATCTCTATGTTGGTGATTCTCAGATCTACTTATCCTGCCCTAACCTCTCTGCTGACCTCCAATCTTGTATCCTCACCTACCTTTCAGAGATCTCAATCAGGATTCCAATAGATATCTTAAATTCAACATATTCAAAAATACAGCTCATTATTTTTCCCCCTAAATCCTATCCCCTCCTACCTTACCTATTACTTCACTATTGTTGAGAACAATACCATCCTCCCAGTCACTCAGGCTCCCAGACTAGGTGTCATCCTAGACTCCTCATTGTCTCTCACCATCCATCCCCCCATCCAAGCTGTTGCCAACACCTATTGATTTCACCTTTGCAGCATCTCTCAAATATGCCTCCTTGTCTCCTCTGACACTACCCCGGCTCTAGTACAGTCCCTCATCATCTCACACCTGAACTACTGCTATCGCCTGCTGCTGATTGTACTTGCCTTGTCTCTCCCCACTTCAATCCATCTTCCATTCAGCCTTCTCTAGAAGAGAAGGTAAAGGGGCTAGTAGAAAACCTCTCCAGATATAAGGGGCACAGGTGGAATTGTTCATGACTGCTGCTCGCTAAACAGCCACAATAATAATGATAGTTGACTATTATATGGAGTTCAAAGTCTGAAAAGTACTTTTTGGATATGATCTCATTTGAACCTCACAGCTAGTAGCAAGGGATGTAAAAGAAAAAAAGAAAATGTGGAAAGTGACCGGCTGATTCAGAAGCTGGAGTCTAAGAAAAGAATTTAGATATCCAGACCACAACTTAAAATATAAAAGATGTAGCAAACCTAAACAGTTCTGGTAAGGATGGATTTGTCTGGCGTCTTGTAAATCTAGCCCAAAGGGCTTTAAACTGAAAAGGGAAGGGTTAGAAGAAAACTACCTGTGCATAGTAGGATGTCAGACAAACTGGGGTGAAGATGGGTATGCTTTATGGTGACCCCAAAGGGGATTGGAGACTGGAATGCAATATCTGCACAAGCCACCAGGTAGCACTCCAGCCTTGGACCGTATTGGCTTACTTCCACTGGGCAGCTGCCAAACACCCTTAATTTCCCGGTCCAGATTCTTATCGAACCTAGAAACATAAATTAATTCCTTCAAAATTGTAATTTGTCAAATGGCTCCAATTTGCCTCCCCCCTCCCCCCATTCCCACAGTATCTTAATCCCTTTCCCACTGCAGTGAGATCCCAAAGGGCTTACTTACCTATAGATTCAGTTGAATTTTGATTAGAGTGAAAACAAAGGTAAAGGAAGTACAGCTTTAAATGTGTGCTGCAACCCCTTTTGATAGGATCTGACTACTCAACTCTGCTCATCCCTTTGCTCTTCTGTGCCTGGCTTTCAAAGGCATTCTGAAAGGCTATTTTTAGGGATGTGCTTTCAGTACCCTTGTTCAAGGTCATTCGGGGGGAGAGGGGGGAAGATGGGAAGTAAGGAGGAGGAAATTGAATCACTAAGTTATAGCTCTCTCTCGTAGCCAGAAGAAATTATCCTCCTAGCCACTAAGCTAGACAAACTATCTCCTCCTCCTGATCATCAGCATAGAAGGTTGAATGCCTTCAGTGCTCTTCCAGCCCTCATCTCCCTGAGAGTGCCAGGCAAGTCAAACTAACCTCCATCACTCTCCCTCAGACCCTGATATGGATGGCCCAAGAGTCCCAGGATAAGCTCTTAATAAATGCTTTTTTTTTTCATTTACCGGTTACCTTAGGTAACTCCTTTTATGTTAAATGCACCAAAGCTATGCAAGTCCAGTATTTCATGTTCTTTTTGGCTCCTAAAAGATCCAAGGAGTAAAAAAAACCAAGATGCTTCCACCAAAGGCTACTCTAAATATCATAGGTAGTTGTTAAAATATAAGAAAAAGGATAGTAATTTATATATACTCATAAGGCTACAGAGGACAAAACCCAAGAAATGACATAATAATAAAACCCAGGGCCTCCAATATCTATACAAAAATTCATGAAGTATAGCAAAGAAGCAAGATCAAGAAAAGATCCTCAAGAACTAGGGAGGAGGGGCAGCTAGGTGGCGCAGTGGATAGAGTACCGGCCCTGAATTCAGAAGGACCTGAGTTCAAGTTCAGCCTCAGACACATAACACTTACTAGCTGTGTGACCCTGGGTGAGTCATTTAACCCCATTGCCTAGCCACAAAAAAAAAGAACTAGGGAGGAGACAGATTTGGCTGTGTAGGTTCTCTGAAGCTTGATGGGAGGAGTTAGACCTATATGGCTATATATGGCTCCAAAAGGGTATACTTTATTTTAAAAAAATAAGGTGAGCAAAGTGGGTATGGCACTGTGTATTTATTAAGAATATATACTTATAAGAAAGATATACTCATAAGAAAATATGGGAACCCGAGGGAAGAAGCATTGTGGGGAATATTTGGATAAAGATGGTAAGGTAAATAGAAGCAACATTCCCATTAGTGTTTACCACAGGCCACCTTCACAGAAAGAAGTAGATAAATTAAGGTATGATATAGAAATTGACAAGGCCACAAGATTGGCACAAAGTTATAATAATACAGTAATGATGAGGGGCTTCAATAATCCAGACATCTACTAGAGTTTTCTTTCTGACAGAAGCTGAGCAGCTAATAATTTCTTGACTTGACTTAATGATATTTTCCTCCTTCAAAGGGTAGAAGAAAACAAAGAGAAATTGTATTCTGGATCTCATCAACAAGGAGAAACTGGTTGCTAAGGAGAAGATGATGGAAACTTTCTGAAGAAGTGACCACTGTCTCTTGAGTCTGTTGATAGAGCCCAAAAAAATCCAGGCAAAGTATGATATGCATTCCAAATTTTGAGAACTCAGATGTTGAAGGGTTCAGAGGGATGAAAGGTGGGATCCTATGAGTGGGCCCAAGAGAGTCCAAGATGGATGGGAAGCTCTCTGGAGAGAAATTCTGAAGACACAAAGAGAAAAAATTCCATAGAAAGAACAAGGAGAGATATCCAAAGAGGGTGTTGTGGATACACAGGGAACCCATCAACCAGCTTAGATTTTTAAAAGAGAGAGAACAGTTGCAGCCTTTACTTCACACTGTCCTCTGCATGGTCAGACAGCAAACTCCTTTGCCACTTCCTGAAGTGGAGTGATGGGGGCAGAGGAGGAAAAGCCAAGCTACATCTTCAGGCCCAGTGCCAAAGAACATCATTTCTGCTGTTAGGGAAGAAAGAGAAGGGCCCAACAGGAGCCTAAGAAGACGCCAGCAAAGCTGTCAACCAGAATCTGCGCACCCACCCCCCGCCCCCCAGTAGCAGTTGAACATAAGCCAGAATTTGTTAGGGAAAAAAAAGGGCAGCAAAGAAGGATAAATGTGAGGCTTCAGAAGTCTGGACAAAAGAGAGAGAAAAGGAAAACAGGCAGAACTGACTAATCAAGAAGAGAACAACGTTAACACTAAGGGAATCATGACACAAATCCCAGTTTATGCAATTAATGAGTCATACTCAATTTTTTTTTAAGGCAATCAGGGTTAAGTAACTTGCCCAGGGTCACATAGGTAATAGGTATCTGAGGCTGGATTTGAACTCAGATCCTCCTGACTCCAGAGCCAGTATTATATCCACTGCACCACCTAGCTGCCCCCAAACTCATGAAGTTTAAGTGTCAACATTTTAATTACCTATGTTCTGTATCTGTCTTACCTTTTGGTAGGATTGTTCCCTAAATAAAACCACTCCCTGCTGTTGGATTTTCCTACCAAAAGACATAAAGAGAAGCAAAGTCAGGTACCAAACAAGACAAACACAAAAGCTTGGCATGGCTCTAAGAATAGGGTCAGAGATTGCTAAAGTTCAGAATGAGCTGAGGCTCCTGAGGAAAGAAGAGAACGCATGGCATTACCACTCCAAGTGGATGGGATGATAACTGGCGAGAAGGGCAGAGCTGCTCACTTGTTAATTTTACTCCTGTTTTCTTCATCAAGGAGAAAAAGACTTTGGACTCCCACAGACAGAACAAACAGTTGATACCCAAGACGAATAGACACTAACTGTCCTGGATGAGTTCAAGTCACCTGGCACAGCTAAGCTATTCTCAGGTACTGAAAGAATTGGGGAATGTGAGTGATTTCTCTTTACCAGAAAGCCTGAAGTAGGGTATACTACTTAGGTAGTAGTGGGAAGCCTTGCGTGGGGTAGTAGTAGAATTTGGAAGGACTACATAGGAAACTAAGGAAGGTGGGGCTTCTGAGGGTGGGTTGCCTGACTCTGCTTTCCTTTGTTAGGGAGCCTTAATCCTAGGGTGATATAATTTCTAAAGACCTATATAAGTCACTGGCAAAGAAAAGGCCCTCCAGATGGGGAAGGAGAGTAATTTTAACTATTTATGACCTCAGGCAAGACTTTTGCATTTTTATGTTGGGTAATACACAAAGCCTGTCCTGTGTTCATTGTAATGGTAGCTTGAATACATGGGATCTGACAGTCTTTTTGCCTTTTGGAGAACTGGAAATAGCCAGATTATAATGTTCTCTGAGGAAGCCCTGGCCACATGGCAAAGAATCATTTATGATCCAGGATAGAACCAAGTCCAGGTAAACCCAAGGCCTTCAGTTCTAGGCTATGGTTATTCTCCTGCCCTTCTTACTTTCTCCTCCCTCTGTAGAGACATCAACTTGACATTTCATATACTTCATATGGTATCCAAGCCCCAGGCCTTGTTATCAAAGCTGAGTTGGAAGGAGGTACAGCTGAAGGACGTTCCAGGCAGAGTGTGAGGATAGGGAATGTCAGCAGCCACCATGAAATACCAAGCTTTGGGAGTGAGAAGGGGATAAAAGGGACAAGTCAGGTCGGTCAAATGGTAATCTCTTGATCCATATTGACTTCCCAGTCTGAATATCTGCTCCAGCCCTGGTTCCCCTAAGAATAAACAAACAAACAAAAAATTCTGGTACCAGCTTGGCCTGCTCTTGTGACTTAGCATTTGTGTAACCTGATTTAGATCCTGCCCTTCTTCCCAGAAAGGGGAGTACCTAGAGGTGTGCTGGTAAATGTTTAATAACCAGCTGTATGAAAACACAATACGCTTTTAAGCTTAATCCTCATTTTAAAAACAATTTTTTTTGGGAGGGCTGGGCAATGGAGTTAGGTGACTTGCCCAGGGTCACACAGTTAGTAAGTGTCAAGTGCCTGTGGCAGGATTTGAATTCAGGTCCTCCTGACTCCAGGGCCTGTGCTCTATAGACTGCACCACCTAGCTGCCCCTTAATCCTTATTATTAACATTCTCTTCATCACTTCCTTAAGTCTAGACAAGCAAGAAAACAATAAACCAAGTCCTGTTTTGCGGCATTTGCCTTGGGAATCATCTAGTATAGTGGTTCTTAACGTTTTCTGTTCTGTGAACTCCTTTTGACCAAAAACATGTGTTGTGAACCTCCAGGTTAATTTAATTTGCTACTCAGAATATTCTTTCAGATTTATTCATTAAGTACTTACAATAACTACACTGACAGGATCCTAGCCCTAACCAACATCAGCTGGGAGGAACAGCAGAGAGCTGATAAAACTGGGTGTGCCAAGGCCAAAGGAAACCACTTCTTGACATGGCATGAAGATTGTTGTAGCCAAGGTCTCATAATCTTCCGGTTGTGTCCTTTCTTTGATAGGCTTTGCTTGCTTGCTTCTGCTCCTAATGCTTCACATTTTGGGGGGAGTGGGAAGGGATAAAAGGGACAAGTGAAATCAGTCAAATGGTAATCTCTTGATCCGTATTGACCTCTCAGTCTGAATATCTGCTCCATCCCTGGTCCCCCTAAGAACAAACAAGCAAAAAATTCTGGTACCAGCCTGGCCTGCTCATGTGACTTAGTATTTGTGTAACCTTCTTACACCATCATGTAATGGGGTTGCAGACCCCATTGGTTTGTTAAGATAGCAGTAGCCACATGGAAGACACCCATTACAACAATAATATTCCATTAATTTCATATACCATCATTTGTTCATCTTTTTTGAGAAATTACATGGTGTTCTTAATGACCCCAAGCTTTTCTCTGAATCAGTGCTGTATCTTTTTTTTAAACATTATTATTGTTTTGGTGAGCCGCAAATTCTGGAATGCCATAGTCTTTGAAGAATCAAAATTATAGATTGCTCAAAGGGCAATGGAATGACACACAGTAGCCATAAGTAGGCTTCAACAGATCACCAGTGGAAAAAAATGTTGAAGAAAAAGCAGTATCGAGGATGCCATTGGGAGATGTAGAACCAGAAATGTGAGTGGAATGATCACAGAGCAACCGTAAGGGATAGCTGCTGGACAGGCATTCCTGTCTTGATCAATATCTACCCAACATCAAGAGATCGGTAGGAAGGATCGTCATATATGAAGCATGCTGACCAGTGAGGGGATATTTCAACAAGAAGAATTCTCTTCCTAAGGTATTAATCTCTAAGTTGATGAAAAGGGAACAGAACCCATTGGCGGAACCCTGGGGAGTTTTGACTCCCTTCTACTATCAGTAGCATCTCTGAATGCAAAAATAGCAAATTAAGTTTCCTGTCTTCCCACTCCAAATAGCTACTCTTCCTGACTTCCTAGTATCTATTAATGGCACCACAATTCTTCAAGAATCCATGCATCCAAGCCAAAGGAGAATTCAAGGATTTCTGGTCACAAAACCACACATGCCCACTACACAAATAAAGAAATTATCTACAAGCTGTTACTTAATGATTTATGCCCTCTCCTATATACCAGCAGAGGGGGCCACAAGCATAGGCACCAGAATAGATCTGACTCTTAAAAGAACTATTTAACTTAAGAACAACACCATTATCGTAGTCAAATAGTTTTATGAAACATTTATACGCACCTGAGTTGGTTCTAGGCACTGTAAGAGATGAGATGCATTGACAGATAAGGGGCCCACATTTCAATGAGCTAGCAATCCAAAAATGGTAATATTGACATCCAGGAGAGGCAGTGTAATGTAGTAAGCAAAGTAAGAGCACCGTATTAGAAGTCAAGAGACCTGGGTGCTTGTCTTGGCTTGCCAGTTGTGTGACCTTGACAGTGGGCCAAATTTCTCTGGCTATCAGCTTCCTGATATATAAAATGAGGGGGTTGGGCTAGATGAACTCAAACATCCCTTCCAGCTCCCACATTCTGTGATTATCTCTGATTAGCATGACAAATAGTGTGTGTGTGTGTGTGTGTGTGTGTGTGTCTGTGTCAGTGTGTGTAAAAACACACCATATAAAACACAAAGAAAAAATTAAACAGTATGAGTCAAACTTATTAATTTAGGGGGTTAGGGGTGGGGTAGGTCAGAACTAGGATTTCAACTGTGGAAGTGGAGACCCACAAGTCATCTAAAATTTATCATCTTAAAGAGCTGCCTTGAGGTTAAAGAGTAACCTGAGAGTTTAAGTGACTTGAACCCAGATCTTCCTGACTTCTGGGCTGCCCTGCTGTCAACTACACCATGTTACTCTACCGTCATTTCTCCTCTATAAATAAATAATTACATTTAAAGTAATTACCTAATTTATGACTGTCAGCTTTCTTCTCTGAAGTCATAGAAGGCTTCCTAGAGGTGATGTGGCTCAGAGGGGCTGATGAAAAAGCAGGGGGGATGGTTGTCTAAGCTAGAGAGAAGCACATTTCAGGCACAGAGCTAAGTGAGGTAGTAGGAGTCAGGACAGAGGAAAAAGAACAGTGAGGCTGTGTGAAAGAGTGGCTCTGGCCATACCATTGGTGAAAATTCTCTGGGCTCCCTGGGCTTTTTGGCAACGTTGCTCTCCCTTGGTTCTCCATCAACAGGGCCATGCTATCTCCTGCTTGCTGAGTGCCCACTGTATTGAGCCAGCTTCCTCCCCATGACCTTGCTGCACATCAGGGGCTTTTGAGCAAGACTTTACTTACATTCCCAAATTTGTCTTTGCCTTCTAAAGGCATTGCCTTTTGTCACCGGCAATGCTGGAAATACCACTGTTAGAATCTTTTAGGTCTTTCTCTGGGACTTCATCATGACTAGCCAAGCCTTCAGGTTCTTCTGGGCAGTATCCCTGGTACTGTCCTTCGATGAATCACCTGAAACAAGTGGTGATCATGAGGTTTGAAAAGTCTCATAAAGCTTGCTGCCCTTCCCTCTGAAGACAGCAGACTCCCCTATTCATGTTAAGTAGACACATGGAAACCTCAGCACCCTTAACTGGGAGCTACCAACTACCACCACTTGTCTTTTCTTCCTATAACCAATAAATGAATGGTTTCTTTCCCAGTGGACCTTTATGATCATTTCTTGTCACTTAAGAAATTACTTCCTCTTCAGAGGGTCCACTTCTACTCTCTGGAAATAAAAACCTGCTGAAGACTTTATGAGCGAAGGAACAGTACTCTCAGACCTGTGGTTTAGGAAGATTATCACACACAGCTAAGTGAACGATGGATTGTATAGGGGAGAAACTATAGGCCAAAGGATTGATTAGGAAGCTACTACCATGGTCTAGGTAAAAGGTGATGAGGGCCTGAAATAGGATGGGTGGCAGTAGGAGGAAAGATGAAAAGATAGATGCATTTGATAGGAATGTAAATGTATAGCGTATATCAAATTGTGTGCTGTCTTGGGGAGGTTGGTGGGAAGGAAGAGGGAGAAAAATTTTAAACTCAAAAGCATATGGAAGTGATTGTTGGTAAATCAAAATAAATTAATAAAAAAATAATAAAAACACTATTCTGAGACCCCATAGGCTTCACTGGCCTGCCATAGGGGCCCACTGACATGAAAAAAGTTAAGAACCTATAGTTACTTTTAAGAATCTTTTTTTTTGTCTTGTGTCTGCCTCTTAGAATCCCTCAGGGTTCATAAACTGAGGTCCATGAGCTTTTTTTTCTCTTAATATATTTTGATAACTATTTCAATATAATTGCTTTCCTTTATAATCCTTTGTATTTTATTTTATGCTTTTAAAAACATTAACTTTATAATTAATATATAATATATAGTATATGTAATAAAACATTCTTTTATTAAAAAAGAAAAGATGGATGCAAAGGATCTCATGGAGGTAGAGACAATGGAGTATAGTAATTGACTGGATGAAGAAAGGCAAGGGAGAGGGACGAGTCAAAGGTGATGCTGAAATTTCAAGTTTGATGGACTAGGAGAATGGTGGTGCCATCACCAGAAAAAGGACATTCAACAGTTCACATTTACATAGTGCCTTATGGTTTGCAAACATCATGATGCCATTTAAATTTTCACAACAAGAAGAGCATCTCTGTTGCAGGAGCTCTTATTATCACCGTTTTGTAGAATAGGAAACTGGGGCTCTCAGAGATTCAGTGATGTGTCTTGTCCAGGGTCACACGGCTAGTAAGTGTCTGGGGCTGGATTTGAACCCTGATCCTCCTGACTCCAGGACTCTATCCACTGTTTCAAGATACTTTTCTTTAAAAGAAAAGGCAGGATTTGGAGGGAAAATGATTAATTTAGTGGGGCTGTACACCGGGCCACTGGGGGCTGTAATAAAGTGAGGCCCATGGCAGGGGTCAAGGGGGTAGCTAGGTGGCATAGTGAATAGAGTGCTGGGGGTGGGGAGGCACCTGGAGTCAGAAGACTCATCTTCCTGAGTTCAGATCTGGTCTCAGACATTTACCTGCTGTGTGACCATGGACAAATCACTTCCCTCTTGTTTGCCTCGGTTTCCGTATGTGTAAAATGAGCTAGAAAAGGAAATGGAAAACCACTCCAGTAATTTTGCCAAGAAAATGCCAAATGAGGTCAAGAAGAGTTGGAAAAATGACTGAACAACATCAAACATGGTAGGGATCAAACCCTCCCTAGTTGACATTGGAAGTGAGGAGTGATTGTGAGCGTAGCATTTAACTGGTCTCTACATAGCCAAGGATTACAACTGCCAAGTGAACAAGCTAAAATCAAAATATGAGCAGACACGCAAGCTCCTTCATTCCTCTCTGAGCCTCACTTCTGACTCTCTGAATTTCTTTCTCCATTTCCCAGCAGCCTGGAATATCTGGCCCCCTCTGTAGCCTCTTCTTCTGATTGCTTAATTCCTCCTAGAATTCCCATTTTAAGGAAAGGCCCAGGCCAGCCATGTTCATTCCATCATTCTTCTCCCGACCCTATGCCTGACT